CATGTTTAGGCTTGGCTTCAGCATGGAGTAGGGTACTGACAGAATGTATTTAAAATCACTTTTCTTTCTATCAATTACTAGCTGTGGAGCCCTGGGAAAATTACTCTTTTTGAACTTAATTTTTTCCTCTAGGCATAAAAATTTTTCTCCAATTTATGAGGAATATTAAGTGAGATCATGTATATAAAAACACTTAACATTTAATCACTGGGGAGAAAGAGGAGAAGGAGGAGGAGGAGGAGGAAGAGGAAGAAGAACAAGAAGGAGAGGAAGCCAAGCAGCTGCCTCCACTTGCTGCGGTCCTTTAGCAATGAGGAAGAGTGACAGCTGTCTCAGTCTTGTTTGGGCTCATACGAGTGGCTGGTCCTTTCCACTCTCTAAGTAACTGTGTACATATCAGGCTCACGGCAGTAACAACAATGCCACGTGCCCGCACACTGGGAGCTGAAGGATAAGAAGAGTCCACAGTGTAGTGAAAAAGAGTAGGAGACCGAGGCCCATGAGCTTTGCCAGAAGGGAATCTAGGCAAAAAGCAGATAGTGGCTGGGCATGGTGGCTCACACCGGTAATCCCAGCACTCTTGGAGGCCTAGGTGGGAGGATTGAGGTCAGGAGTTCAAACCAGCCTTAGCAAGAGTGAGACCCTGTTTCTACTCAAAAAAATAGAAAAAAATTAGCTGGGTGTAGTGGCACATGCCAGTTGTCCCAGCTACTCCGGAGGCTGAGTCAGGAGGATCCCTTGAGCCCAGGAGTTAGCGGTTGCTGTGAATTATGGTGAGACCCCCACTGCACCATGTCTCACAAAAACCCAAAAAAGCAGAGAGTATGAATCAATATAAATTTGTGTTCTAGAAAAAGCGCTGTAACGTAGAGCCAGAAAACTTGGATTTGAGCTTCAGTCACTAAGAAACTCTACTCCTTTGAGCAAGTCACTTGTCTTCTCTGGGCATCAGCTCTCCTACCTCTGAAGGACAGTTAAGAATCTTACAAACTTTTTTTGTAAGAATTGCATGAAACATCGTGGGTGGTGGCACTTTGTTAACTGGAAAACACTAAGCGAAAGAAGGTTTAATTATTGCTGTGAGAAACTCAAGATGAGCTTCTGCAGGCAGACGGAAGGTTTGGAGCTCGCAGTGGGAGATCAGATCAAAAAGGAATGTGAGTTCCCGTCTCAGAAGATGGGAAACAGGATGCCAGGAGCAAGCGGAAAGCTGCTGAGAGCCTGCCAGGCGGCAAAGAGATGGAGTGAGACACACTCCACCTAGGCCTGTCCCCAGAGATGCCCTTCCCGTAGCTGTCATGGCATATTTCACAGCTTGCACAGAGACCGGCTTATATCTGACGTGGGATTAAATTCTAAAGTTAGAATGTGAAGGAAAGAAATCATTGCTGTGGTTTAAATATTTGTCCCCTCCAAAACTTGGGTTGAAATTTAATCCCCAATGTGGCAGTATTGAGAAGTGGAGCATTTAAGAGGTGATTGGGTGATGAGGGTTCTGTCCTCATGAATGGATTAACAGGTTAATGGATTAATGGGCTGTCATAGGAGTGGGACAGGTGGCTTTCTAAGAAAAGAGAGACTTAAACAAGCACACTCAGCCTCCCACCGTGGGATGTGCTGCGTTGCCTTGAGACTCTGCAGAGAGTTGCCACCAGCAGAAAGGCCCTCACCAGGTACAGCCCCTTGACCTTGGACTTCTCTGCCTCCCTATCTATAAGAAAGAAATTCCTTTTTTTTTTTTTTTTTTTTTTTTTGAGACAGAGTCTCGCCTTGTTGCCCAGGCTCGAGTGAGTGCCGTGGTGTCAGCCTAGCTCACAGCAACCTCAAACTCCTGGGCTCAAGCAATTCTGCTGCCTCAGCCTCCTGAGTAGCTGTGACTACAGACATGCACCACCGTGCCTGGCTAATTTTTTCTATATATATGTTAGTTGTCCAGCTAATTTCTTTCTAGTTATAGGAGAGACAGGGTCTTGCTCTTGCTCAGGCTGGTTTTGAACTCCTGACCTTGAGCAATCCGCCTGCTTTGGCCTCCCAGAGTGCTAGAATTTTACAGGCGTGAGCCACCATGCCTGGCCCCTTTTCTTTATACTAGTAAATTATGTAGTTTCAAGTATTCTGTTATGAGCAACAGAAAACAGACTAAGACAAACACGAACAGTCAAAATCACTCTTAACTAGTTCATCAATCACCTGGAAATTGTGGTATATATATGATTTCGAATATACCGGCCGCTATACAGTAATTTTTGGCCACATTATAGTTAGAAGCCACTGTGCAGATGTCTAGGTATTCAAATCATTCTCCCTTCAGATAATTACCAAAGCTATACCATGAACAGAAGACAGGGAGAGAATTCTGAAAGGTTGTTGCTTGCCTGCAAGGTTTACTCTATTCTGTCTTTATTATAAAATCTTTATAGTCTGATACCTGTTAATGGAGGGGTTAGGTGCTTATGTGAGGAGTAGATACAATAATGTGTGAAGGCATCTATCATAGAGCAATGCACAATAAATGGCTGCGACGTGAATAAAAACTTGCTTTCCCAGAAGGACAAACAGAGTACTTTGAGAAGTGTTTTCTTGTCCTTTCCCCATGTTGCCACGTCCTGTGGTGGCCCACAGACCAGTGGTCACTCTTGTCCTTGGCCCTTGGTACCACCCCTCCCACACAGGGTGTGGGTGTGCCAGGGGAGGGGGCTAAAGTCAGTTTACATGAGACCTTTGCACTGCTTTGGACTATTTCTTGACATCTTCTGGACTTCTGTTCTCTCTCCTTTGTTTTAGAGATAGATTTATTCTAACTGATTTTAAGTTCATGGGGTAGTATTATTCGCACAACAGAATAAAAAAGAAAAATATGTTTACGGCTGCATTGATGCTATTGATGGAATTAACAAGAGAAGGGTCCTTTCAGCAAAACATCATCTGTAGTTTCATGGACACACCCCTAGGTGGGGAGAGTGAGCTGCAGGGGAAGAATCTCAAGGGATGGCTTGGCCTTCTGGCATCTGAATTCTAGGCTCAAGCAAACCACCCCGATGGCAGTATAGCCCCAACAGTCCCCTGCAAGATAAGAAGGCTTTCCACAGTAAACTATTAATAAATAGGTTTGGGAATTGTTGCAAGTGCTATGAGCAAGGGTCCTCAAACTTTTTAAACAGGGGGCCAGTTCACTGTCCCTCAGACCGTTGGAGGGCTGTTGGAGAGTGTGGCACACATTCCACACATGCGCACAAGGGCCCAGGACGAGTTGGCTGCTAAGCAGGACAGGCAGAGGCGGCAAAACCACCTGGCGGGCCGGATAAATGTCCTTGGCGGGTCGCAGTTTGAGGATGCCTGGCTATGAGGATGTTAGAGACCTCAGACTGTTTAACTATGAGAATGGAGTGGGGATATCTCATGTGGTACCTCTGAACAAACCGAGACCCACAACACAACAGGACTAGGGCCCTCTGCCCCCCCCAGTCTGAAGCCGGCTCTTGAGGTGCTTTAGAATCTTATGGTAAATTGATAATAGGGATTCTAGTTAATATATTGATGTTCTACATATTTTGGGGGACATGGACCTATCGTTCATGTGCAGAAAGACCCAATAATCATATTTCCTCCTCCCCTCCCCCTGACCCCAGGATATGCCCATCACTGTGCTAGGCAGAGGGGAAGAGATAGTGAACACAACAGAAACGGTCCAAGCCCTCTTGGAGGTTAAAGTCTAGTGTGGCTCTAACAGAACTGTCTGCAGTGATGGAAATGTCCTTCATCTATGCTATTCAATACAGTGGCTACAAGCTGGATGTGGCTACTGAGTACCTGAAATATAGTTAGTGTGGCAGAGGAATTTCGAACTTTATTTCATTCAAATGAATTTAAATTTAAATAGTGCATTTGGCTACTGGCTACTGGACTGGCATTGCAGTCCTGGCCAGAGCAGGGCAGAAGGATGTGTAATATGAAAGTGACAGGCCGGGCGTGGTGGCTCATGCCTGTAATCCTAGCACTCTGGGAGGCTGAGGTGGGAGGGTCGCTTAAGGTCAGGAGTTCGAAACCAGCCTGAGCAAGAGCAAGATCCTGTACTCTACTAAAAACAGAAAGAAATTAATTGGCCAACTAAAAATATATAGATAAAAAATTAGCCAGGCATGGTGGTGCATGCCTGTAATCCCAGCTACTTGGGAGGCTTGAGCCCAGGAGATTGATGTTACTGTGAGCAGGGCTGACACCATAGCACTCTAGCCTAGGCAACAGAGTAAGACTCTGTCTCAAAAAAAAAAAAAAGAAAAGAAAGTGAAGACTTGAATTCAGAACACCTGAGTTTGAGCCCTATCACTGCCCTCAACTAACTGTGTGATTTTGAGCAGATTAAATTTATTGAGCCTGCCTTGGAGAGAGTAACTACCTCTTGGGGTTGCTAAGGAGATTAAATTATAAATTTGTGGGAGAAAAGGTTATTTACAACCTACAAAGCCCCATGAACATATGAAATGTTATTTTAATGAGTTCTATTAATATTAACGTGAAGAACCTGCAATGTTTTCAATGAGATTTTCTGTAAATTTGCACCTTAAAATATTGTTTAATTATAGGCAATTCCGGGTCTTAGTCAAAGCCTTTGAGCCCAGTTAGTGAGTAATCGTTCTTGTTTTCTATTGTAAGATTTGTAATGAAGCCACTATTCTGTTTATTAATTTACTAATTGCCTTGCATTGCTGCTAATAAATATTTGGATGCAAGTGGTGCTACCGCAAATCTCCTCCTTCCCTCAGGCCGACTGAGGCATCCTCTTTCTGTTAATTCTCCTGGTGTCTGTCAAAAGAGGAATGACAGGGGAGGCCCTGTGCCACCCTGCTCCACTCCACAACTCCAGCTCTGCCTCAGAGGGGCGGCAGGCCTGAGGCTTGTGTAAGGAAGATGATGGGGAAGTGCGTAGCCTCTCCCGGTGGGTGGTTTACCTGCCTGCGCCCCTGGTGGTGACACTTGGGCATTGCAGGGTGTAGCCTTACCCGTCGTGGAAGGGGTATCCCCACGTACTATTGCCCATAAAACATTTAGGACCCTTGTTGATTGAGACGGCTGAGATCACAAAGGAATATCCAGCACCCAAGAATCCGATCACAGCAAATATTGTGGAGGTGAACATCTGAAAGAGAAGGAGAGAGACAGCCAAGTTCTTCAGGTGGTCTGGAGATTACATTCAGCAAACCTAACCAGCCTGTTGAATATGGTGACTACAGGGAAGTTACAGGGTAGCAGCCAGGCTTTATAGTAGGGGCCTGTGGGGTCTTCTAGAATGAATTTTGGTGTCTCATGTTCCCTTCTTCACTCCATTTCCTTATCTTTTTCACCTATTCATTGAAGACTGGAATGCTGCTTATGGTTTGATATCTTTGAACCAAGCCTTTTTAATCTTGTCAAGGATAAAATCTCCTAAATGGGATAACATGTAAGGCCAATCTATAATTGAATCAAAGAATCTTAGATTTGGCAGTAACCTTACATAAAACTGGAGGAATCACATTACCTGACTTCAAATTATATTACAGACTAGAATAGTAACCAAAATAGCATGGTACTGGCAATAAAACAGACACATAGACCAATGGAACAGTATGGAGAACCAAGAAATAAATCCACACATCAATAGTGAATTTATCTTCGACAAAGGTGCCAAGATCATACAGTGGGAAAAGGACAATATTTTCAATCAATGGTACTGGAAAAACTGGATATCCATATGCAGAAAAATGAAACTAGACCCTTATCTCTCACTGTATACAAAAATCAAATCAAAATGGATTAAAGACTTAAATCTAAGACCTGGAATTAAGAAACTACTAAAAGAAAACACTGGGGAAATGCTTCAGGACATTGGACCAGGCAAGGACTTCTTGAGTAATATCATCAAAGCACAGGCAACCAAAGCAAAATTGGACAAGTGGGATCATATCAAGCCAAATAGCTTCTGCACAGCAAAGGAAACAATCAACAAAGGGAAGAGACAACTCACAGAGTGGGAGAAAATATTTGCAAATTACCCATCTGACAAGGGATTAATTAACTAGAATATATAAGGAGCTCCAACAACTCAATAGGAAAAAAAAATCAAATAATCTGATTAAAAAATGGGCAAAGAATCTGACTAGACATTTCTCAAAAGAAGACATACAAATGTCCAACAGGCACATGAAAAAAATTCTCAACATCATTAGTCGTCAAAGAAATGTAAATCAAAACTACAATGAAATGTCATCTCACCCCAGTTAAAAATGGCTTTTATCAAAAAGCCAGGCAATAATGAATGCTGGTGAGGATGTCAAGAAAGGGAACACTTGTATACTGTTGGTGGGAATGTAAATTAGTGCAACTACTATGGAGAACAGTATGGAGGTTCCTCAAAAAAACTAAACATAGAACTACCATATAGTCCAGCAATCCCACTGCTGGGTATATATCCAAAGGATGGGAATTCAGTATATTGAAAAGATATCTGCTTTCTCATGTTTATTGTAGTACTATTCACAATAATCAAGCTATGGTATTCACCTAAATGTCCATAAATGGGTGAATGGATAAAGAAATCATGCTACATATATAAGATGGAATATTATATAGCCACAAAAAGAACACTTGAAACAACATGGATGGAACTGGAGAACATTATGTTAAGTGAGATAAACAAAACACAGAAAGACAAATCTCTCATGTTCTCACTCATATGTGGGAGCTAAATTAAAAACAATTGATCTCATGGAGACAGAGAGTAGAATGATGGTTACCAGGGGCTGGGAAGGGTAGTGGGGAGAGGGTGATAAAGTGGGGATGGTTAATAGGTGCAAAAATATAGTTAGGTAGAATGAACAATATTTGATAGCACAACAAAGTGACTTATAATAATCAACAGTAAGTTAGGGTATACTTTACAATAACTAAAAAAGTGAAATTAGAATGTTTCTAACACCAAGAAATCCTAAATGCCTGAGGTATTGGATACCTCAACTACCCTGATTTGATTAATTCACATTGTATGCCTGTATCAAAACATCACATGAATCCTATAAAGATATGCAAGCATTATGTATCCTTAATAATTAAAAGTAAAAAAAATTTAGAAATGAAATATGATCCACCTTAAAATCAGCATGAAATAACTTCAATTTGTCATGGGCTTAATGATAACAATTTTCTTAAACATGATTGAGATCAAGTTGAATATGTTAGAGAGTAGACACTCCATAAATGATGCTATTTAGAATAAATGACAAAAGGCCAGGGGTATCTCTGGAAGGAGACAATAATTGGGAATAGTAGGGACCTCTGAGGAGGGGAATTGGCAGACTTTGGAGTCAGAAATGGGAGATTTCTGTAGTTTTTGCACTATGGGTTTGTTTTACCTAGTCTAAGTGGAAAAACAGCAAAGAGAAATGCTACGGTTGTGGTCGAAGGCATGGTTACAGGCAGATGGATCTTGGTCTGAGTCTAGTTCCTCCCTTATGACCTTGGTAAGTTCATATATATATTTTTTTGCCTTCAGAGCCTATTCTGTAAAACAAAGCTCAATGATACACACCTGCATCACAGAGCTCACAATATGTAAGATAAAGTAATCAGTAGTAAATAGGGAATCAAAGGTACACAACTCTAGAAAATCGGGTAATCCCAGGTGTGGTAGGCTCCTAGAAAATGCCAAGTACTTCACGGATAGGACACCCAGAAATCTCTTTTGCCTATGCACGAGATTTGGCTAATTTCTCGTGACATTAACAAGCACTTGATAAATGTCATTATTATATTATAATATTTTTGTTATCATATCCTCACACACTCTTACTTCCCACCAATGCAGAGAGCATAACTTGGGGGGTGGTGGTGGTGAGGAAGTAAACAGGCAAATTCCCTCATGGCTGCTCAGCGCACATGTTCTGTTCACATCGTCAAAGAAATATGTGTATAGCACATGCTGCAAATGCTCCCCTTGAAAGGGAAGATAGGAAGGCCCTGTAATCAGATACCCTCTAATTCACTTGTCAGCTTGGAGGCCTCCCTCTCTATTGGGCTCTGCAGGCAGACAGGTGGCATCAGATCCTGGCTCTGTCGCCACCCGTGATGTGTCCTGGGTCACGCAGGTGCTTATGCTGGCCAAAGCATGTCTGGGGGGCAAGGCATTCTTCCTTAGCAAACATTCCGAGACATGCATAGACATTATTTGAATTCTTTTTTTCTCCTAAAACGTTAATATCCTGTATTTTCTGCCTCAGCTAGGCTTCGGAAGTGGGGGAGAGGGTGTGGCAGCCAGAAACTTAGCTTACATGAACCTCTGTTTCCTCATTTATAAAACAATAGGAGTTTCATACCAAACTCAAAGGGTTACTGTGAGGACTGAGCCTGATAGAGTATGGAAATCCCCTGAAATCCCTCTTACGTGTTCATTTACTGCATTCATCCCACAAGTATTTCTCGAGGATCTATGTACCCTCAATACCCCAGGCACTTAGCTGGTACTTCCTCCCCTCCTCTCCCACGCAGCGTCGCCCCGCAGTCCTTGCAACGTCCTCACGAGAGGTTGCAACTGCCGTGATCCGTTTGATAGCAGAGGACTTTGAAGCATAGAAAATGTTTTGTGGAGAAATATAATTCTATACTTTAATTTCTTGTTTCAAGATAATCCATTCCTTCTAAAGAAATGCCTTTCTATAATCCTGCTCAAACTGGCTGTCACTCTGAGGAATGAAGAGGTAGATTAGGGATGCTTTCAGCTTCTAGGACCACGAAGAGCAGAAGGGAGTCCCTAGAAGTGCTCGCTCAGGAGGCACCCCTAGAGGGCACTGGTGAGCCGGGCGCGGGAAGAAGTGCGGGCTGTGTAACACATAGACTGGTGTAGGACGGGACCAAGATCTTTCTTCGAAACAGGCAGGTCAGCCAGCCATCTGGCCTTGCCCGTGGGTGGGGTGGGCCTTGATCTACCTGATACGCTTTAAGGATGCTGACATGCCTGCCTGCCCCCAAATATCTCATCAATCTAACCTTTTGCCTCGTCATTAAAGACACTCCTTTGAGTCAAATCCAAGGTCTCCAAAAGTCTCTTATTAAAGCACGTACTTAACATGAATGAGTTGATAAGATTAATTAGCTGTCCCCTTGAGCTTTGAGAGACTCATTTTTGGAAAAAGGATAAGAGGGCAGGAAATGCAGACCAGCCCCAGAGAGGTGCCAAGAGGTCACTGAGACTCTCCTGCTTAAGAGGGTTTGTCGGGGCCAGGCACTGTGGCTCACGCCTGTAATCCTAGCACTCTGGGAGGCCGAGTTGGGTGGATTGTTTGAGGTCAGGAGTTTGAGACCAGCCTGAGCAAGAGAAGACATGGTCTCTACTGAAAATAAAAAGAAAATTAGCTGGACAACCAAAAATATATATAGAAAAAATTAGCCGGGCATGGTGGCGCATGCCTGTAGTCCCAGCTACTTGGGAGGCTGAGGCAGAAGGATTGTTTGAGCCCAGGAGTTTGAGGTTGCTGTGAGCCAGGCTGACGCCAGGGCACTCCAGCCTAGGCAACAGAGTGAGACTCTGTCTCAGAAAAAAGAGGAAGGGTTTGTGACCTGAAAACAAACCCAGGGTGAGCTGTCAAAGCCCACCTTGAAAGTACTCTCTGACTCTGTTTTAGCCTAATTTATTTGAAAGAGGGCAGATCCCTGGGGCTGAGCTTCAGTCTTGTATCCTTAATAATTAAAAGTAAAAAATTTTTAGAAATGGAATAAGATCCACCTTAAAATCAGCATGAAATAACTTCAATTTATCATGTGTTTCATGATAAAATTTTCTTATCTTAAAATAAGTGATTGAGATCAAGTTGAATACGTTAGAGAGTAGACATTCCATCGGAGGAAAACCTGCCTTCATTTTCTCAGCTTCACCGTGAAACCAGGAATCAGGTGATCCCAGACTCTTTCCAGTTCATTGTCTCTCTTTATCTCTGCAGCCACTGCATCCTGCTTCTCCCTCTCTTACTTCCTGGTTTTACTACCAAGGAAAGGGAAGAGACTGGCACAGTTGGCTTCTGGGGAATGTTCCAGAAAGACATAGCAATGCAGAGAGGAGAGGGCGAGAGAGGCCAGAATAAGGCTGTAGGGAGGGCAGCAGGATTCGGCCCAGCAGCCCACAGCTCAGTCTGAGTCTTCCTCACAGGCCTTTCTCCTGGCAGGGCTCCTAAGTGATTCTCCAGAGAGCCTAGTGCCCCTGACATACCTGGTGGGGAACGCCACGAGCATTTGGAAAAATAATTTAGCTCTTCAGCATCACAATTCCCACTGAATTATGCTGTAGCTGTTTTCTTCTTGTCTGACAAAATGTAAATACCTCACTTTAGAAAGATGATTATTGCTTAGTGCTCCAAAGCCTCAAAACATTAAGGAAACATGAGTCTGAAGCAGGAGGCATGAATTCAATGGCCTTAAGTTGGGGCAGGGACCCTAAGTGAGTAGAGCAGCCAGTGTGGCCCGCAGAGCTCAGCCAGGCCCAGGACAGGCTGCTATTTTGCCAAAAGGCAGGCCCAGAGGTGCGAGGTTAATTTTTTATTTTTTGAAAAAGAAGTCAGATATCTAGATACTTTATGTGCTATCTTTCAATTTTTCAAAGTTGGCAGCTGATTAAGAAACAAGCAAATGAAAACCAAGAGATCCTTCTGCTGGCTACACAGCATGTGGCTGACCCTGGTCCAGAGCAGCCGTGGCTGGGGGCCTTGGTTTACAGTCTGGCGCAGCTGGTCCTTTCACGGACGCTGCCTGGTCATGTGGACAGTCAGCTGGTCATTTGCAGGAGTTATCCTCAACTCCTGCCAACAGCGGATCCCACCTGGAGGGTTAGTAACGGAACCCCAACAGACAACTCGTATTGGGAAGACCAGATACTGCAGATCCTATTGACTCAACTGTGCTTGTAAAAACATGACTTTTCTGCCTTCATCATGGACTTCGCTTAAGTTTAATTAAAAAAAACAAGTTTTGCATAATACTTTAAATGCTATTTCATTTCTCACTGTAATTATATACAAACCTAAACAGAAAAATCAAACGAACAAAAACCTCTTCTTTTATACTGCGCAGTCTTTAGCCTTCTACTCAGCATCAGGAATGAAATGTTAGATTTCTTTTTTTTTTTTTCTTTGAGACAGAGTCTCACTTTGTTGCCCAGGCTAGAGTGAGTGCCGTGGCATCAGCCTACCTCACAGCAACCTCATACTCCTGGGCTCAAGCAATCGTACTGCCTCAGCCTCCCGAGTAGCTGGGACTATAGGCATGCACCACTATGCCTGGCTAATTTTTTCTATATGTATTAGTTGGCCAATTAATTTCTTTCTATTTATAGTAGAGACGGGGTCTAGCTCTTGCTCAGGCTGGTTTCGAACTCCTGACCTCAAGCAATCCTCCCGCCTCGGCCTCTCAGAATGCTAGGATTACAGGTGTGAGCCACCATGCCTGGCCGAAATGTTAGATTTCTAAGTAATGACTCTTCTTTCTTTTTATCCAACTTTCTTAATTGCTAATTTTTTCTCAATCTCTCATTTCTAATTTATCCCTCAAAAGTTCACAAGGCATAATGGGATCATACTTCAAGGGGAAAAATAAGTTATAAATTTCTTCCTTTCCTTTACAATTAATTATATCAAAATATCATATATAACATATTATATAATTATATCAAATAAATTGTGGGCGGTGGCTCATGCCTGTAATCCTAGCACTCTGGGATGCTGAGACAGGAGGATCATTGAAGGTCAGGAATTTGAAACCAGCCTGAGCAGGAGTGAGACCCCATCTTTACTAAAAATAGAAGGAAATTAATTGGCCAACTAAAAATATATAGAAAAAATTAGCTGGGTGGCTAATGGTGGCACATGCCTGCAGTCTCAGCTACTTGGGAGTCTGAGGCAGGAGGATTGCTTGAGCCCAGGAGTTTGAGGTTGCTGTGAGCTAGGCTGATGCCATGGTACTCTAGCCTGGGCAACAGAATGAGACTCTGTTTCAAAAAAAAAAAAAAAATTGTGGGTATTTTCTACATCTTTTTGTAAATGATGATTTTAAATGCTAAAATAACAATTATCAATGCTCACTGGGGACTCATGGTGCTATATTCTCTTTGAATGATCTTGAGACTCACACAGAAAACTGTAATGCAGGCACAGTACACTAGCCTCAGCCCTTCGTCTGTGCTCAATAGATATTTTTTGATTGAATAAATGAACTAATAATGGTGGAAAGAAATGTCAAAATGACTCTGTTTCAGAATGCATAGATGAACCTTTGTCTTTAAGAAGGTAAACTATGCATGTCTAGTTCATTACTGGGATTCATGAGTCTCTTAGATGGACAATTGAACCCCAGGAGGTGAGAGCAGGAGCCTGCCTTACTCATCATCCACACCAGTAATTACAGTTCTACCATGCTTCATTTTTGCCACATCAATATACCTGAACTCTTCATATTTTTTCCTTGTCAACTCTCTATTTTATGATTTCTATCACTATTATGAATGAAAAACTAGAATCATTAGCAGACATAAACACAGTATTATCAAATTTTAGTTAAATAGTGTTGCTGGCATTCCTGGAGCCTGAAACTTGTTCTCCCTTTGTTATAAAGGGCGATTATAAGTGTTAGGAATAGTAAGGACTTATTTCCATCAAAATAAGATATTTTTCTTGGTAGACTCAAAAGGATTGAAGGAGGATTGAACAGGAGTAACATTCTACGCTGTTGGAAGATATAGCATGTCTGTGCATCACCAGAGCTTGCTCCATACTTGAGAAATTCTTATCTAGTCCAACTTTCTCGTTTACAGAAGAGCAAAGCGAGGCAGGGCAGTACGGTGACTTGCCAGCTGCAGGACTGGGACTGGCCCATGTCCCCGCATTCTTTCCATGGCCCCTGGAATGTAGATGCCTGGTCTCTCTGGCTCACCTACTAAAAGATGGGCGGCCACGTAAAACGAGAGGAAACAGAAGTGCTGAGGCAGAATCGAGGTGAAAGTGGGCAGGTGTGGGGCCTCAGAGACAGTGAATGTGAGAGCCGCTGGATGAGGAATTTAGGGGGCTCTTGGACAGGGGAGGTTACTATCTTTTATCCTGACTGGAGTCCTCTTTACAGAGGAGGCGATGCAGGATCAGAGAACGGAAATGACTGTGCAAGTTCTCATGGCCTGCCCATGGCACAGGGAAAGCCACCGCCCGCCTCTGCCTTCTGAGCCTGCATTCTGTGTATGGAGCCACTCCGGCTTTCCAGCTCTGGCATCGCCGCCTGTCTGTAAAACCTAAAACACTATCGTACCCTGTAGGTCTGAGGGCTGTGGTATTTTTTAAAAAATCATGATTATTGTTATTTTGCACCAGCAGGAAGAATCACAGCCTTATCCCTGTGCCCGCTGCTCCCCGGAGTCCTAGCTGGGGCCGGTCACTCACCCCCACCCTCACGCTGCCCAGCCCAGGGAGACAGCCAGCGCACCCCGGAGTAATGCTGGGGCTGCGCCCGCCCGCACGGAAACTCACCGCGAATCGCTTCCCGCAGCTCTCGTTGCCGCAGCACCCACAGCAGTCATTGTTCTTCAGGCCCAAGAACACCAGCGCGGGGAAGACCATCTGCCGGCAAGAGAAGCAGCTCAGCGTGGGGCTGGGAGGGGAGGGGAGGGGACAGCCCGAGCCTGCCTGGCTGTGTGAGGAGCCCCGTCTACCCTGCGGGACTTGGGGGCTCACAGGCCACGGCAAAAGTAACAGAGCATGGCTGGTGGGGTGGAAGCAGTGTTATTGAGAACTTAGGTTCCATTTGGCCTGATTAACTTTAGCTTCAATGAGGCAAGATTTTAAGATCTGGCACCCTGAGTTTCCGTTTAGATAGTGGGTTAGGACAAGGATAAGAAACTTATTCTCACTTGTCATGAAAAGTGAGTCTCGTCCTCTCTCTCCCTCTCTCTTTCTCAAGTGGAGGTTCCAAACTCTTGGAAACCAGAGGTAAAGAAATCATCAGTGTGAGAGTAGAAGAGGACTCCACCGAAATCTGCTTCTCTTGGTGGCTTTAAGTCAATAATTTGCTAGAAAAGCATTGTTTTTCATTTAAAAAATTGTTTCGGAACTATCTTATTGGTATAAAGTGATTATGTGGCCTTCGGTTTGGTTCATGGGACTCAAAAGACCCATGAGAATTGCCAGCCCAAGTGTGGGGATTAACTACTTAGTAAATTTAGTTAACATATCCTTGTTAGATCCTAAGGGAGAAGGGAAATAAATTAAGGTACTGACTTTTCATTACGCAATGCTTGGGCTTCTGTTACCAACTAAATATTTTCCTGTTCAATAAGTACCCAATTTAAAAAGGTTGGAGGGATGTCCATTAGGGGGGTTTTAAGGCTTCCCTACTTACCAAGACCCCGCTTCCTAATATTCCTCCGAAATACCAGATCTCATCAGAAAGGTTGTCGTTGTTGTCTATCACTTTTCCTCCAGGGAAAAACAACAGGATGTTAGCCAGGAAGCCGAACAGAGCGAGGGGAATGAGGGTGCCCCCCAGGCACTTGGCGCAGCCCCCTGTACACATGCTGGGGGCGTAGGATGCAGGTCAGCGAACACAGTTCCTCACTGCCTCCTTCACAGAGCCTCTTCAAGCTTTTCGGCCAGAGCGTCCTGGTAATTGTCCCCAGTTCAATCAGTATTTTGAGGCTGAGAACCAAACTTTTATGAACTGTGTCCTTGGAGTTGCTTCAGCCTCTGAAATATAGCAGCGATGGACATTTATACATTCTCTCTGACGTGAAGTCTTTTTTTTTTGCACCCCATAAATGAGATTACGTTCAGAGCAATCGTTCAATCGTTTTGCCATGGAGACCAATAACCTCTGTTAATCATCCACCAGCACGGACAAGACACTCAGATTGTAGCGATCGAAGACAGGGCTGGAACAAACAGCATGTAGATCTGCTGTACCTTTAATCTGACAGCGCCCCTGCCCAAATCAAGAAGTATTTCCTCCAGGCTCTTTATAAATCACTTGTATAATTGAGCTACATCCTGGTGAAAATCATGTCTCCCAAGTACTTAATGGTGTGCAGTGCGTGTCTTTGTTTTTTCTGCTGAAAGCCTGGAACGCAGAGTTATCAGAAAAAGAGCTTCTGTTTTCCTCAACAGGGAAATAATTTGATGGTCTAGTCATGTATCATTGAGCTCAGGCCTACAGGGCTTTTTTTTTTTTTTTTTTTTAAGGATAAAATCAGAATAACTATTCATTTTATTGTCTGATTGCTGTATTTCTCTACTTGTTTCCCAAGTATTAAGTTCTATCTCCTTCCCTACAAGATATGATAGAATTAGAAAAAACAGTTTTCCTAATCAGCTTGTTCAGTTATGTCTTCCATATAGGAATAAAAAACGTCTACCTTCTCAAATGCTAAGGGGACATGAAGGTCAACATTGTGCAGAAAAGGAGAGGAAGGAGCCTAATGAGTCAATTGGGGCAGAGAGGACAAAGTTGGAAGAGCAGTTAGAGAGTGTGGGAGGCGGTTAAGTGCACCCCTATTGGAAATGTTGCCAACTGCCAGGGGCATGATTCATCATTAACTTGCTTTGTGTCACTTAAAAAGGTCTCTGTCACGCCTGGCCCAACCTCTACTTTATGAGATGACCCTGCTTGGTACTGGTGTTGCATAACAACTGAAGGATGAAGGGGTGGAGAGGGGAGTTTTTGCCAGGTCTTCACTGAGAGTTAAAAATTAAGGTTAAAATTAAGAACAATAGGTAGACTTTTTTAGGGAATCCAATTTTAGCTAAATAAAAAGCAAGTAACACTGTTACCATGGTGAGACCTGTCCTTTGAAGGAATTGGCCACCAGCTCCCCAGGAAGCAGTGGACAGCACTGTGTGGGGGCTCTGGACCCTTGCCCGGGGGCTCTGGGGAGAGTCCAGAGAATGCAGATCAGATGGACGCTGAGTTTCCTTCTAAAGATTCTAAGAAATGTGAATTTTTGCTCTATAGAGATACTTAGAAATCTCAGGGTTGGGGTGAGAAAGAAAGAAGAAAAACAGCAAATGTTTATCAAGCTTGCATAACTTGCCAAGTACAAATGAGCACTTTAAATGCTCTCACTCTTCTGTGAAGAAGGTAGTGAGCCTCCTCTACAGACAAGGACACTCGGCTCAGAGAGGTTAGATGAATTTTGTAAGGTCATCCCAACATAATAAGAGGAAGAGCTAAGATTTTTAAATCAAGACTCTGTGCTGCCAAAACCTAGTATGTCGTGTCTCTGATAGGTTTTCCCTTATAGAAACAAACAAAATCATCCTTTCACTATGTGAAAAGTATAGGCTTATGAAGTGTATGTACACAGTGGGAGATACCTCTTTTTGAACAACCAATTGTGATTTTTTTTCTTATCACACAATGAATAAGTGATTTTTTTTTTGGTAGAAAAATCAGATATATAAGATCTGCTTGGAAAGTATACAGCCATTGTTAATGTGATGAGAACAGTTAGATGGCTGGATACTTTCCGGACATAACTTGTATAGACAAGCAGAAGGAAGAAAAGGAAAACCAGCTGTGTTCCCACCAGCAGCAGATAAAAACAGCCATTATATTGCTGGCAGTTGTTTTCCAACGCCCCAAATGGGTGCAAATGAACTTTATTTACAATTCCCAGCTTTTGATGGAATATCAAAATGCTAACACCAAAGAAGACAACAGTTCTAGGGAGGGACAGGTTGGGTCAATCAAAGGTAGATGCCACACTGGAGCTAGGTAGCTCCCCTTTTGAGACTGTGCAGTTTTTTTTCTATCTCCATGGACTGTGCCTTGTGCTTCTAGAAGTTACCATCATGGCGTTTGACCAACACTGGTCAACACAGCCTTGATGTCCTAGACTTTTCAGACTAGCAACTGGAGTTGCCTATCTATACTGAATGAATTAATGAAAGTAAGGCATATTGTGGACCATGCTTTAGTTGTTTTTCAGGATTTTTAAGAAGATGTGGCACATGAGTAACTTTGAGGGAGAGGCTGAGATAAACTATTTCCTGTGTAGAGAAAGGGAAACACTGAAAGACAGTCACCTTTATGGAATCCCCTGACCACTTGAAACCTCAAATGCCGTGGATGGTGATTAACTCATTAATGGTTCAACTATTAATTATGCCTTCAGACCTTCAGGCAGGAAGCAGAACACCTAATCTGGAGACTGGTGCCAGTGGGGGGGAAAGAGCCTTGGTGAAATTCATCCTCAGGAAGCAGGGGGGTCCCCAACAGACTGCTACAGGAGCTGGAGAACCATCCTTGTGACACCCTGCTTGATGGTTTGTGGCTCTCTCTCTGTTCCTAGGGGTGTTTAGCAGGACACCTGTAAACCAGAAAGTCTAGAGACAGCAAGGATGAGGGGACTCAGGAGACTGAGCCCCATTCTGTAGTCAGTTCTGTAGGCAGAAGACTTCTATGTGAGAACAGATGGCAGCTTTGGAAGGGATAGAAAGACAGCAGGGATCCTTGGGGGAAGAAAGGGAGAAAAATGCTATCATGGTCACTGCCCTCATGGACCTCATCTCTGGGAGGTTTGAGCAGTAGTACCTTCTGGTGATGCAGGCACTCAATTCCCGAGCCAGTGATCACAGGAGAGGGAGCTGCTTTCCCTGTGATTCTGATTACCTGCTGGGGGCATGCACAATGCTTAGGTGAAGCTTACTACTGTGTCTCAGCCTGCTACACTTCTTCACCTTGAAATGGGTGAAGAGTTGTTAACACAGTGCAATGCAATGCAATTAATATGTGTGTTTGAGGCACCCACAATACGTTCGCTAATGTGCCAAGTACTGTCCCAGTGAACAAAATAAATCTAAGACTTGCTTTCTGTCCTCCTACTTGTGACAAGAGACAAGAAAACTCATGCACAGAGGTTAAAAGGGTTAACTGCCCTTTAGCAGAAGAACAAAGAGTAGCTTCTTCACTTGTCTTAATGTAGATCACTTATTTATTCATCCAACTTATCAGGAAGAAGATGGGGGAGTCTCCATCATTTGCATTTGAATAAAATTAAAGGCCCGTGTTTGTTTGCCTGGATTATTGGAACAGATTGTTAAAAGTGATTTCCCAAAGGAGGGAAAAAAAAAAAGAAAATGTCAGTGGGCATTGAGTAATAATGACATTTAATGACACTTTTGTTATGTATGTACAGATATTAGGTAATAATGCAACATGTTTGCTTACTATAGGTGTCCAATAAAAAAAATCTAAAGCAGGAAGTGAGAGTTAGTGATCTTTATAAATGCAAAACTGATCTTACACGCTTTTGCTCAAAGCTCTCAGGAGGCTTCCATGGCCCTCAGATCTAAACACAGCTCTCCCTGCTTGGCCTTCCTGCCAGCTCCAGCCTCCCGGCTTCCTGATTCCCTCTTACACTTCTCCAGGACTCAGTCCCGTGGTCACTTCTTCTGAGACTTGTTTTACAAGAAAAGTGTTTTACAGTCAAGATATGTTTGGAAAATCTGGACAAAACAAAGCTAAATAGAGTTCTGAATGGCAGAACTTTTTAGGGTTTTAAATTTGAGAGTGCACTTGTAATTATCGAAGGAGAGCTGAGAAATACAGTGTCTAGCGTTTTGCAAACTTTGACGCTGGTAGAACACTTCTGTTGTGGCACAGCTGGCAGGACCAGCATTCCCCGCAACATGCTTTGGGAAACTCGGAGCTTGCTCACTTCCCAAGTGCTTGTGATGAATCTGTGTTGGCAGAGAGAAAGCGAGTGGTCATTTGAGGTGAGGGGAGTGTGACAAGAGGGAAGGTGGAAGATGGGAAGGAGCACGATTTGGGGAGATTGTTGGGTGCTGGATGAACATCTAGGGTGGGGAGCTGGGAAGAGGGCTGGGAGCCAACTTGGCCTCCATGGAGCAGAGGAATGGGAAATATCCGGCCTGAAGGAAGGCAGTCAACACTCTTTAAGAGCTCTGATGTTTCATGACTGGCCCCTCCATGACTAGGGTGTTTCAACATGAGTGTTCCCTAAAAGGGCCACTGCCCTGAGAGATGCTGACTACAAGAAAATCAAATAGCCTGGAGAACAAGAGGACGCAGAGACTCCTCTCAGACTACTCTATCTCAGAACCTAGAGTTGTCATCCAAGCATAACAGGAGCAGACATTTATCATAACACTTGCTATATGCCAGGCGCCGGTCTAATGGCTCTATATTATTAACTCATTTAGTCCTCAGCAATCCTTTAAGCAGGTACTATAATTATTGTCCCTATTTTAGAGATGAGGAAACCAAAACAACTGGTAAATGCTGTTCTGGTTATTTATCGATGTATAATAAACCACCTCAAAACCTTGTGTATGAAACAGTAACCACTTTATTATATCTCCTGATTTTATGGGTCAGGAATATGGGTAGAGATCAATTGGGTGATTCTTCTACTCCAGGTAGCCTTGACTGAGATTATTTGCTCTCGTTCAGGTGGTGGCCACGGTGGTTTACAGAGTCCCAGATGGTTTCACTCACATGTCAGGTGCCTTGATAGGAACAGCTATTAGCTGGGCCCCTCTCTCCCTGTTAGTCTTGGGATGTACTCAGACTTTTATATGGTGGCTTGAAGCTCTAAGAGATAAAAAGTGGGAGCTGCCACTTTTTTAAGGCCTGGGACAGAAACTGTGACAGGGCCACTTTACCCATACGCCATCGGTCAGTGTAGTCACAGAGTCATCTCAGATCCAGGAGAGGAGGGGCAGAGAATTTGTGCTCATCTTTAATTCTCCACAGGGGTAGAGGTGGATTTGAAGAAAGGGAGTCTGGCTCTAGAGACCCCGTTCTTAACTGCCACAATATAATGCTTCAAAAACCAAAGACTGATACCTACTGTTTAATCAACACAAAGAGGGCTGCCTGCATGCATCTAGGTTCACAAGTCAAGGGCCTTTCTCAGACACAGGCTGAACTACCTGGATAATTCCCTCCATTTTGTATGGGTGGACACAGGCCTGAGTTAGGATTTGGACTTGAGGATCTAGCCGGCGCCACCTACAGCCTAAAAGTATCTCTCCAGTTGGTTTCAAAATCAGAATGAACAAATGCAAGTCTGGTCTTGCTTCATGACTCAAAGGGGTGTTGTATGGCTCTCTCTAATACAGGTCTCAGTACAAAAGGGCACGGACAGGCATGAGCCCTGGGCTGGTAAATCTGTCCCAAGTGACGTGCCAAAATATTGATTTGTTTTAGTGTTATTTTGCGTTGTTATGGGTGAAAAGTTAACTTTCAACAGGAACTCACACCTCACCGACTCTCCATAAAGTACAACATCACTAACTGAGGTTCTTCATCTTCTTTTTAAAATTAAATACACACATGGGTTCTAAAGTAAACTAAGTTTAGAAATCCAGGCTATGTGTTTAAAATGCAGAGAAATGTTTTTAACACTGCATTTGTTTTTATGTCTATGAATCTGACTTTATGTAATTATGTATTA